AAAAGGTGTTACGATCCACAGTGGAATGAGGTTTCGACCTCGCATAGATTTATCAACACCCCGAGGGGAAACGCTCCACTCATATCCTTGTGAAAAAAATTCAACTATCAGTCCTTCATAACCTTAGACGAAATAGGGTGAACATATCTCATATATCTGATTTACTGCTAGTCTCGAAAACCTACTTAATAACGAAAAAATTAATGTCAGCGTTCGACACCCGCATTCTTTCAGAAGATAAAGGAAACTTGTCATATAGAGAGGAATGAATTATTTAAGTTTATAGATATTAAGCCAAAGCTCTGGCGTGATATTGCCAGGAATGATACTGAAAGATTTTCAGAAATTTCCAGAGTATGGCCTAAAAGAAATCAGGTAAGATCTCTTATTTAATACCAAAGATAAATAACTATACTTTCTTACTTTTTTTCATAATCTTCATCATGTCTTCGGCCTTTCACGGCTCGTATGTTTATTTGTGTTAGTTATCTTAGATATCCGAGGAATATCTGAATCAATTTGACCAAATCTTTATCTCAGAATTCCACGTCCGTTAATAATAGGCTTCTAGTGATCAAGCGCCTCATTAATCAGATCTTCATACTATAGTTGTGATCAGACTCGAAGTTCAGTATTATTCCGGCATATGGGTTCTTTCTGTATAATTTTTTCTTGGCTGTCCAAGTAGAGCCAATCAGGAAAGATGACCGTTCCTTTTTCTCTACTTTCATTACGAATTTGATCCCTCATCAATCCTCTAATTTTTCCCATCCATGCGACAAAAGTGCGAAGTAATCATCCAGATGACGCATAAACACTCTTGGTTGCTGTAGTGACGTCTTGAAATTCTCTTATAATTTTTTCATGTATACGTTAGCAAAAAGAGGTAAGCGGCGAATACATAGGAAGTCCAAATATTTGTTCATACATATTTCCGTTGAATGTGAAATAGATAATCCTTATTGTCAAGTGGATTAGAACTTTAAACGACTCCCTTCTGACCCTTTCTACTTCTAGGATATCTTCATCTCAGTCCAAGATCTCCAGCAGGGCCGTTAGCGCATTTTCTCCAAGGATGTTAATATACATGGATTTTACAACAAAATTTACCAATAATTATATTCCTTCCAGTGCCTTGATTTTGATACCCTGACATAATTCCTATGGGTGTTTCAGTGTGTTTGATATCCTGTCGTTAAACTTCTTCAGTCTACTTGTGTGGCTCCATACTTGTTATTGACTTTCAGTCCTATTGTTTCCCCATCTTTGTGTATCTTGGGTATTTCGAAGACCGTTGGTGATCGTAAATTATTTCTTATTACTGAATTTATCATCTCTCCGTTACTAGCATATCTTTAAGCATGACACGTAAAGCTCTATTGATCTTAATAGTTGGGTCCTTATTTGGTACATGATAGGCACTGTCTCATAGTATATTTTCATTCTTCTCGTATTATTTCCTGTTCAATATCAGTCGCTCATCCTTTTATCCACATAAGGGACAATTTTTTTATTTAAATGTAAGATCCTCGCAAATCTGTTCATGTTTGTTGGCTCCTGTGTCGAGAATATTGAAATTATTTCCATCTCCATTTCTCGTTTCGTCTCTTCAGGGGACTTGTCAGAGAGAGAAATGGTCTCATGCAGGATGTCTTGTAGAAAGTTTCTGTTATTTCAAAGAGAAATGTTCAACCCATCCAAGGATAAATTCACCATTTAATTCCGAACGTCGTAAAGATCAGTAGGCCTTTCCACCATGAAAACCACATCAACTTGGTGTGCTAGCATTAACTTACGCTCTTTTATAATCTCATACCTAAGCAAATTTTCGTTATGCCTCTTTATTATGAAGCTAGAGATCCTACGTAATTTCTTGTCGGCCATACTCTGGAATTTCTGAAAATCTTTCAATGTCAGAATTCTGGAAAAACTACGCCGAAGCATTAACTTAATATCTCATCCAAGGTGAACTGCAGTTCCGGCCACGCCTAGACCTTATCAACATCCCGGGCGGGACTTAAATCGCGACAGAGCAGCGTATCATCTCGGCACGTTAACCAGTACACGGCATTGCTACGAATGTTCTTGGGTGACAGGGCAGATTTGAATTTTAAGTAAAGCCAGGCATTTTTCCGTATCACATTTTATGTTGGGGTTGTCAATGAAGCAAATTTAGATTTGATAC